ATACTCTCATGTATTTGTCAACAGAGTTGTTGCGTTTTTTCTTTCTGTGTGCTAACAATTTTGGCGGTGTTTCCGTATTGTAGCATTTCTGTAAACAATTTCTGTTACCAAGGTCTGCGCCGAAATTGTCAAAAACAGAAATTGTTTGCTGGGTATATATATATATAAATAAATTCACGTTTTCACGTGAGTTTTTTGAATTATAATTTCAATTCTTTTAAATCATGTAGGATGCTAGATTTGCATCTCGTTGTTTTACAATATTTTAAATTAATTTGAAGGAGTATCCGGGATCCTTCATATACGAGATGCAAATCTAACATCTTAAATGATCTGAAGAGATCTAGTATAATAGATTTGAATAGATCAAAAGTAGATCTAATAATAAATAAAAGTACGAATTTACAAAGATTTACTTATATCTATTTAGATCTACTTTATATTTATTTAGATCTACTTTATATCTATTTAGATTTAATTTGGATCTAATTAGATCTATTTTTCCATTTTTGTTATCTCGTTAAATTTAAGGTCTAATCCATTTTTTCCCGGGTACTTATTTTTGTATTTTTTATAAAAAGGTTTCTTTTATATTTATTATAGGTGTTGCACAAGATTTTCAAGACTAGCACTAGATAAATCTTTATGGACTTATGACTATCGCAAAGAACCTATTCTTCCGTCTCAAATGGAGCCGTATGAAACCTTCTTAGAACCATTAACATACACCTTAGCAATACGTGGAGATTTCCAACAATACAGTGAAAATCTGCTTGGACTTTTATTTTTTTCTAAAGTAAAACAAATATGCCGGGCACTTCGAACACTAATTATCGAGGATTATTATATTATTGCAGATGAGGTATCTTTTACTTGTTTTGAAAATATTTACACAATACGTACTCATACAACAAATTGCTAAATTGTAAGTTATGAGAAGAATAGAATACGATAGTTTCTTTAATTACTTTCTTATGCGGTGTGATTCTAGTCGCTGGTCTCAAGTTAGTACATTTTTAATGCTAAAATAAAATGCGTTAGCCGTTCGCAACTCAATCGCTTACAATGTAATAATAATTTTGTATTAATATTAAATAATATCTTGTATTAAGTAATTAATAATATCTATATAAAGTGTTTTAAGGTCTCAATTTCTTAAAAACATAAGTCAAACAAAGTGTAAAATAAAATGTTTTTATACAATGCTCTCCTGCTGTCTTTAAAATTAAGACAATACATATAAAAATTACCATTAATTACATAAGTACAGTTTGTTACGTCTCAATACGTACATTTAGAATGATAATAATAATAATCGTATGATACATCATTAAATATGTCAATAACAATTAAATAGCTGTCAAATTACAGTTGACATTTTTACAGTACTACTATGAGGGACACACAACTATTGAGAAACTTGAAATCAAAAATTGTATACCTCTTGCTAATCGTACGCTTCTGTGTAACACGTCCAATTTTTTTCGTGGAATATGTAGTTTCGCACCCCATCTAAACGTAAGTTATTGTTTTATACATATTTTACATATTTATACATATCTAGTGTACTATACATACACACACACACACACACATTGTTTTTAACGACACAATACTATAATTAATATATAAATTGTAGTACTTGATCTTGAACAATGTTCTATGGGATATGCGATCGATTATTCTGACATGTAAAGAAAACTTTACAGAACTTCGAGAACTTGAACTATCTTCATGTTTTTGTATACGGGAGTTACATCCAAACATAGATTTATCCATTTTCATTTGTAATTGCCCAAAACTAAAGGTATTGTTTTTTCCAAAACATTAATATTACTGCACATTTTATTTACTTCCACTGCGAAAAGTACACTTGTCTAGAGATGTGTTTTTTTGTTTTTTTGTTTTTTGTAAATAGCTTCTAAACTTTCAAAACACAGCAGTTGAGGACAGATTAGTTGAATGGTTTTGTGAAATTGAATCTTTAGAGGAACTGTATTTAGAATGCCCTAAATATTTAAGGAAAGAATGGTCAAATGAATCATTAAAGGAGTTACAAAAAGTGCGTTATGAAGGACGCATTTGTTTGAGGCAGCATGATACTAAGTTTCATATCTTTTTATGTACAGTAGAAGTATGTCGTCCAACTTTTTAGTTCCCTTCTTTTCGTCTCTCAAGCATACACACACGCTTCCGCGTATTATACAATAGTAATAACAAAATTTATCAATTTCTTGTTGCGCACTGGATGAAAATATAACTTTTTTTGATTTAGCATCTTCTCGCCGGAAACAGAGTTGAAGAAATAATCAGTTACAGGGACAATCTGTTCCAGAACAATTTGTTGTCAAATATTAGTAGCTATATAAGTAGATGTACTAATTTGAAGAAATTACATATTAGGTAAATTGTATGTTTAGAAAACAAAACCTAAAAATATTTTAAATACTGATGGTTTTATTTTTTTTCAGACATTATTCGCATGTTACTACAAAAGATATCAATATTATGGCTTTGACGTTACCAAACTTGGTAGAGTTGGATATAACTGGTTGTACTGTAACTTCGGAGGATGTTATACACTTTAAATCACAAAGACCTAATGTTAACACTTATTCATCATTTAGTACACAACATACACGATATGTGCCTAAGAGTAAATGAATATTCAGACGACGTTAATGTGACATAGATTATAAAAGAAATGAGTTAAAAACGAAACTTGTTTTATATCCCGATAAAAAGTAGTACTTGATAGTGCAATTATCTGAGTAATTATAATGAAACTGTAATTATCGTACCTGAAAAAAGTTATTAAGCAAGAATATCACATTTACGTGTAATTGTAATAATTATAACTGCAATTATAATTTTTATTAAACTTTGTACCAGTTTATTTTAATATATAACCTTATAAACTTATAGTTTTACTATCTAAGAGAGAATAAAAACAAAATTAATGTATACAGATTTCAATAGAACAGATAAAAGATAATCAATTTTAGGTATCTACTCTTATTGATTTTAAACAATTGATATTTGATGTCATATCGACTATAGAAACGCAATTACAAAATCTTATCTTTTAGTTTACTATTTATTATTTTGTGAGTTTATGGACGCGCAGACTCGTTTTATGACTACTGTGAGAATTTATGATGAAGTTAGAATATACTTAAAATTTATGCATATCAGCTTAAAAAATTAAACTTGTAGTGTTTGCATTACAACAACGGTTTTGTAATTTGTAAACGTAAGTATAAAAATAAAATCAAATATGAAACACACAACAGTGTCTTTCCGTTATAAGCAACCTTTTATTGTTATCACACCAAAGAGAATGCATTGACCACAAAAAATGACAAGTCGTAAACCTGTGGACCTAATAACGTCACTAGAAAAATAATTAACTTTATACTTTTTCTGAATGTTATATTATAGGTTTTATTATAGATTGTATATATTATATATGTACTGTAAATATTATTTTAAAATTTAGGCAGTATATATAAGTTTAAAAGTTTTAGTTTAAATCATATATGATTAAGTAATGTTACATAATAAATATTTTTTTCCGCATTTGTTATTCTGAATACACTGGTTTATACGTTTCAAACCTAAACCATGATTACTTTTGACTGCGGTTTGATATTCACTGTCAGTAATTATCACACAATTCAGCAATGTGATCATTTAAAGAATGCATTTCGACTATCGCGCTGGTGCGTATCGTCGCGACACGCGACAAGTGTATTCAGGCTCTTATCAAAACTAATGTTGATCAGCAAAGTAATGTTGTACATGGCCGCCGTTGAGCAAACACCGAACTGCAAAAATTGAATGAAACTCACAAAAGCACCGACTTACTGAATCGCCAGTACACAAAGAACGCCCTGTGTCATTGTTAAGCCTTTTGCACACTGCGAAAAAGAATAGCAATAACGAGAAAAACTAACATCGGCTTTATTTAAGGTTCGTATTTATAAAAAACGGTAGAAACAGCGAAATCTAACATTTAAAAATATACATGTATTATTGCAGATCAGAAAACGGAATAGACAATGGCGATAAAAATTTCGACGAGATGAAATTCTGTGTCTATTGCTTATCGCTATCGCTGTTCTTTTGAAACTGTTCAAAAATCTTTACAAATAAGAATTAAACAAGACGCGTTCTAAATCGTAAAGTCGATGTAGCAAGGAGTATCCTACGATACTCTCTCGAACGGAAATAAAATTAAACAATTTTTGAATGACGTATAAACTAGCCTAGATATGATTATCTCTTAAGAGATAATCATATGTGCCTCGATACGTAAACATTTATACAATTATGTGAAGAAATCTTGAATGAAAATTGTGATTTGCAGATCTATAAGAATATTTTCAAAAATAAATGTAGAAATATTTGTTTTCGAAAATATTTAGAACTGTTTGCAACCTTAATTTTCAACACTATTTCGACAAAAGAATAACATATGGCGAATTATCTTAGAAGTATAATTGCAAAATTAAATTTAAAAAGAAAGTGTCTAATAATTGAAAACAAAATTTTCAGCAATGTGATGTGTTACGTCCTGTGGACTCCGCTTTCTTTCGCGACGTATTGGCGACCGGGTTTGGTATCTTGAACACGCAGCCGCGTGGTAGTGGCGCGTGAACGGATATCCCTGCCCGTTAAAATTTTTGAAGCAACCGCTCGAAATCGAGGAAAATCTTTCGGGAGTTGATATTACGGAAACGCAGCCGCGCGATATTGGCGCGTGAACGGATATCAAGGCCCGATAAGGACACACAAAGCGGACGAAACTTGAGAAAATCTTTTTTATTATCGATTTTTTTCAAACGGAAATTTACGCCCGGGGCGATAAAGCCATAAGGAAATTCCGGAAAATAATAAAATCGGACAACTTAATCGCGGAGGTCCGATTGACCCGGAGCTCTCCCAGCTTTGTGAATAAAAGAAAGAACTCAGGGTGAGCTCGGGCAGAAAGAAAAAAGATTTGCTCAAGTGCGGTCTACTAGTCGAGTGAGTGTAGGTGCGAGTAACTATAAGTGAAAAAAAAAAAGTGAAAGGGAAGAGAGAACTGCTACAACCCGCTGTGTCGCTACAACTCGCTACCGCTACAACCGTTGCCCCAGCCGATTCGCCGCTACCAATCCACCAAATAGTAAGTGCTAATGTTAAGCCAGGAAAATTGTTACCAGTGCCTGACGCCGCGATCAAAATCTTAGAAGCGTTAGAATAATTGTAAGAACAGCTGCCTTCGTTAAAATAGAGCTAACGCTGATACGAATTGCAGACGATACGCAAGGATCGTCGAGCGATTCTCAGCGGGCGCTCTCGCGTAGTCAAAAATAAAGGAAAGCCCATAGGAATAAATAAACCGAGGTAGCAGCTGACCTACAAACCACGAGCCGCAAGAAACTTATAATCGCGAATTTTAAGTAGACCCGTCCGCTTGTCAAAAACGGTGGAAATCCAGAGCCCACCCTCCAGGGATACCGTCGAAGAGCCGCCAAACGGGCCCGGAAACAAGCTGAGGCACCGCCGCTTATCACCCCTACTCCGACGAAAATAATAATAATCATAGCAGCAGTAACTATATAGGAACACACGCAGATATCTCTCACACACCTTCGGACGACACGCATTCGCAACATACACACAGCAACGCACCATTAACAAAACTTGTAACAAAAATTTCTTTTAAATGAATAAATTAATATGTTTGTGCCTTATAACCGATCTGCTTAATTAAATCGACCTCTTGACCCCTCCACATCCTCAATCGATCGCACAGTCTCATCCCAGGCCATTGGGATTCGCATCTCAGACCTAAAAACAGAGACACGCGAGTGAAAGTCCAAAGTGCGACGAAGCGGCACACGACCGTCCGCCGGACCCGACACGTCCGCTCGACTCGTGGATACACACGCTCTCTTTCCGATAAGTGTGTATTGCGAGGTAAATATAAACCGACCTGTGTTACGATCCGTCCATACCCGACCGTTTCCAGAGGCCAGGATGCAACAGATGTTTAAATCATATAAAAATATAATTGCACACGAAGAAATTACATTAATTCATGTATGTGCTTCTAGAACTGCACAATGATTCGTAAATTATTATGTGAAAATATTAAAATAATGCACATAAAATAGTACACATTAATGCAGCAAAATCTTAAATCCAGAATCAAACCAGTTTCTATGTGATGCATGTAACGTTTTTTGATCACGTCTTGACCAGAGTTCCGAGATCTTGAAAAGTGAGATTTTCCATCATTATTACTAATTAACAAAATTTAAGATAAGTTATTAAGTAGAATATAAATAGTTCATTTCGGAAATGTTGCACATAATGCAATAAATAGTTTTGCTGTATTACATTGTCACAAATATTAAATTGTATAATTCTAATTGTATAATTCTACTCAAAGAATTGAAATATTATAAAATATTACTAGTTTATAAATTGGATTTTTCTGATTTGTGACAATTAGTATTTACAAAAATTTATTCTGACATAGTTGTTGCGTTGTGGCAAATTATCTTAATACAAATGATTGCAACATTTGTTGTTAATTCATGATGCCATTTTTGTGCAATATTTTCTTATTAAAGTGATTATTTATTAGTAGATTTCAAACAAGTAATAATTTTTGTGACATATTGAACATGGAAACACAAATGCAAACCGCTTGTTTTTTTATATTTAAGATTGTTGTAATATTACTTGACGTACCAATTCTGTACACACGGATTGTGTTATTTGATTACACAAACTGTGATATATAAAGATGACATCTATCTATGAATGCGCATCTAAAAAACTGAACGTGAACAATGTTTATGTGTGTGTGTGTGTGTAGACTGTATATTTTAATTTATTATTAAAATCAAATAATATATTCATGCGCAACAAAGTGGCGCACAATTTGCGCGAGGCGCACTGTGCCTATTATACACGAAAATCAATTTATATGAAACACGAACACTCGTTTTTTGTATTTGTTTAAATTTATTATAATATCGCGTTTCTTTCGGCGTACGTTGTATTCTGCATATACTGGATTATGTTCCAAAACTAAACCATGATTATTCTTGACTGCTGTTCGATATTCACTGCCAGTACTCATCACATACAATTCCGCAATGTAATCATCGATTTAAAGAATGTCTTTCGACTGTCGCGCTCGCTGCGTCTCGTCGCGACACACGACAAGTATATCCAGGCTTCTGCCAGAAAAAATGATGATCAGCGAAGAGATATAACGTATTTTTTCGGAATGAGTAACAAACGAACGTGGCCGTCGTCCGGGCAAGTACCGAACTGCAAGAATTGAATGAAGCGCGGAAAAGCAACGACTTACTGGAGCGCCAGTATGCAAAGAACGCTCTGTATCGCTGTTGCAAATAAGAATCAGACTAAACGCGTTTTAAATCGTAGAACCGATGTAGAAAGGAGTATCCTACGACACTTTCTGGATCGAAAATAAAATTAAAAACTCTTTGAATGATGTATGAATTAGCCTAACAAATCCACTAAACCATAAGAACACTAAACCAAAAGTAACCAAGTAAAAAATCTAAATCTAGCGTAGCTTACTCCTGAATTAGCTACTATTAGTTTATATTTCTATAGTCAAATCGCCAGAGTACACCTTTTGCAATTTAGAAAAGTTTTATTACCTTTAGACTGCGTTCGGAGAGCACGTTATCAGCGCTTTTGCATGATTGTATCTTTGTTTTACATCTAATGAGCAATAAAGATAGAATAATACCATAGCGCTACTAGCGCTCCTCAAACGCAAACTTTAGTACTACGAATACTTAGCTAGTACTTTTCGTGAGAGAAGCCAATAAAGAATTGGCACACTTGCACAATCAGTATGACGTACCTAGTGTGTCAACCAGAATAAACAAAGATAATAAAACTAGGTGTTAAAATTGCACACAATAGGATAAAATAAGAAATTGCAGAAATAACAGTTACAATTAAAAAAAAAGTGTACATGTCGAACTTACAACATTGTGTTATAGGACAAGATACACGTGTGGTACATCTTTCGATGACATATCAGAACTTCAAGTTCTTCACAATCGCCGTTAGTAGTACTAAACGTAAGCATATTACAAACAAAATGATATTCGAATTTTTTAATGTAAAGTTGTCTCTTTTTCTTTTTTTTCAGTATTAATTGTTTTTCATATAAAAATACAAAAAAGAACGAATAATGAATCAGGACAAACTTTCGACTTCTTTCGAAGGCAAACCTAGAAAAGGATCTCACAGTAAAGTAGAACTTGAAGTAGAAGGTGATAAAACAAAACAGCACGACCACGATGTGCCAATACGAGACAAAAACACAAATAAACAACAAACAACAACAAATATTCTTGACTTCCCAGATGAAATTCTTTTTTGTATATTCAAAAATGTAGACCCAAACGATTTGAATAATCTCCGATTGTAAGTTTTTTTATTTATGTGAAGCGAATGATAGATAAATATCCGAAACAATGCGTAGATAGCGACAGTAGTACGACATTGCTATTGTTGACAAACTGTATATTTCAGAAAAACAGGCTTACTAGTATACGTACTGCTTGTGTGACAGTTCGCCAAACTATATATAATCGTTTGAAATAATATCAATCGCTTCTCGTTAAAATAATATACTTATATTTTATATGTTTCAAAATAAGTTGCGTTGAAATTTATTTATTATAGATGTTGCACAAAATTTGCAAGACTAGCGGCAGATAAATTTTTATGGAGTTTCGACTATCGCAAAACACCTATACTTCCGTCTCAAATGGAGCCGTATGAAACTTTCCTAAAACCATTAACATACAGCTTAGCAATACGTGGAGATTTCAAACATAGCTATAGAAATATTCTTTTACCTAATTTTTTTCTCAAACTACGACAAATATGCCGGAGACTTCGCAAATTGATTATCGAACAGAATTATATTGTTATAACTAAGGTATATATTAGTTTTTATAAAAATATTCCTACTATTTTACAGTATGTACACATACACAAACAAACACGCACACACACACACACACACAGTTAAATTATAAATTATGAAAAGAATAGAATATGATTTTTTTCTTATGCAGTTTGTTCCTAGTCGCTGTTCTCAAGTTTTAGTATATTATTAATGGTAAAATAAAATGCGTTAGTTCGCAACGATATTCGCACTCAATTGCCCTCGATGTAATCTTATAGTAAGCAATATCTGTATACAAAGTGTTTTGCTAGGTTTCAATTTCTTAGCAAAAGAATTTAAACAAATTGTACACTAAAAAATTTTATACGATGCCCTTCCAATTTCTTTCAAATACGGACTACACAAACTATTATTACTTACGTAATTACAGTTTGTTCCGTTTACCTACGTTTAGAATAATAATAGTAATCGTGTGATATATTATTATGTCTGTAAAATTTATAGCTATCAAAGTACATGTGTCATTTTTATGATACTACTATGCAGGGTACACTCTATATGTATAGCATATTATACATTTTTCTGGTAAAACTTCTTTTCCATAGTTTTGTTACAAATTGATGGCAATTTATTAAAATTGGTTTAGGATACGTCAACAACTCTTGAGAAGCTTGAATTTAAAAATTGTATTGTAGCTGGTGGTACTTTTGGTGGTGTCAAATTGTTTCCGTCTCCTTTTTTTCCTGGAATATGTAGGTTCGTACCCTACATAAAAGTAAGTTGTTGTCCTACACATATTTTACACATCTATATATATGTAGTATATTGTATCATACATACATATTGTGTTTAACGACACACACAATACTGTATTAAAAATATAAATTTTTACTCAATACTGTATTAAAAATATAAATTTTAGCATTTAATCTTTAACAATGTTCTGTGGGATATGGAATCACCATTTTTGACAAGTATATGTACACTTACAGAACTTCAGAAACTTGAAATAATTTCATGTTTTCGTATAAAGTACTTTTATCCAGACATAGATTTATTCACTACTCCTTGTAACTGCCAAAAGCTTGAGGTATTTTTTATTTTAGAAAAATACTACTTTTGCATTTCATCTATTTCTACTGTGGAAATCACTCTTTTCTAGAGAGACGTGTTTTTTTTTATTATTTTATAGATTCTAAACTTTCAAAACACAGTAGTAGAAGATAAGATAGTTGAATGGTTTTATCAAATTGAATCTTTAAAAGAACTGTATTTAGAATGTCCTGAATATTTAAGGAAAGAATTGTCAAATGAATCATTAAAGGAGTTACAAAACTTTTATTACGAAGAATACATGCCTATGTGTCTGTTTGATGAAGAACTTCATACCTTTTTATGTAAAATAGAAGTATGTCTTCCAATTTTTTTGTGTTCTTTATTTTCGCCTCTCAAACATACATGCTTGCATGTATTATACAAAAGTATTAACAAAAATTATCATTTTCTTGTCGCACACTAGATGATATAACTTTTTTTGCTTTAGCCTCTTCTTGCCCAAAACAGAGGTGAAGAAATAATCGCTTGCAGGGACAATTTGTTTCCAAACTATTTGTTGTCAAATATTAGTCGCTATATAAGTAGATGTACTAATTTGAAGATATTACATATAAGGTAAATCATAAAGCTAAAAAATAATACTCAAAAATATTTTAAATACTGATGCTTTTATTTCTTTTCAGACATTATTCGCATGTTACTAGAGCAGATATCAATATTATGGCTTTGACGTTACCAAACTTGGTAGAGTTGGATATAACTGGTTGTACTGTAACTCTGGAGGACGTGAAATACTTTGAACTACAAAGACCTAATGTTGAAACTTATTCATCTTTTAGTAAACCACATAAAAGATATGCTAAAAACGTATAAGTAAGATGAATATTTATACGAAGTCAATTTGACCTAGATTATAAAAGAAACGAGTTAGAAACGAAAATCGTTTCCTATCCCGATAAACAGTAGTACTTGATAGTGCAATTATCTGAATAATTATAATGAAACTGTAATTATCGTACCTGAAAAAAGTAATTAAGCAAGAATATCACATTTACGTGTAATTGTAATAATTGTAACTGCATTTATAATTATTACAAAACTTTGTAACATCTTAAGTTATTTTAATATGAGAAATTGGAAACTTATGATGTTAAAACGTAAGAAAACCGAAAAATATAATTAATTTATTCAAATATTTATAGAACAGATAAAAGATAATCACTTTTAAGTATCTACTGATTGTAAACAATTGATATGTGGTGTCATATCAACTGTAGAAACGCAATCACAAGAAATTTTATCTAGTAGTTTACTATTTATTATTTTGTGAGTCTGCGGACGCGCAGACTCGTTTAACGGTTTTGTATATTGTAAACGTATATATATATAATTATGAAAATAAAACCAAATATAAAACACACTACAGTGTTTTCCTGTTATAAGCAAACTTTTAGTTTTATCATACTAAAAACAAAGCATCGACCACAAAAAATGACAAGTCGTAAAACTGTGGACCTAATAACGTCACTAGAAAAATAATTAACCTTATACTTTTTCTGAATGTTATATTATAGATTGTATATGTTATATATATATACAGTATATATAATTTAAAAATTCATACAATATATATAATTTTAAAATCTTTAGTTTAAAATATATATGATTAAGTATTGTTACATAATATATATCTTCTTTCCGCGTTTGTTGTATTCTGAATATACTGGTTTATACGTTTCCGAACTAAACTATATTATTACTCTTGATTGCGGTTCGATATTCACTGTCAGTAATCATCACACAATCGCGCAATGTGATCATCCATTTAAAGAATACATTTCGACTATCGCGCTGCTGCGTGTCGTGGTGACACGCGACAAGTATATTAAGGCTCTTACCAAAAATAATATTGACCGGCAAAGAAATGTTGAACATGGCCGCCGTCGGGGCAGGCACCAAACTACGGAAATTGAATGAAACGCGCAAAAACACCGACTAGAAGTAAACAGTACAGTTATTGGCCTCCCAACAGTAATTGGCCATGTATTAAAGAAGTAATAAATATAAATAAATACTATTATTATATTCTAAATTATAAACATTTTAATATTAATTAAGTTCTTCTGCTCCGAATAAAAGTAATATTATAGTATTTAAGAAGCTCAAAAACTCTCTTATTTAAACATTGGCCAACCGGCCAATCACTGTTTTTAAGGTTATGAAAACCATGTGACAGTCAGTAGCCTCTTATTTTGAGTTATAGATATAAATGTAAGTAGGTTTATTAGTTTTTAATGTGTTATAAATAAAATATTCATTACTATATCTTCATAAGTCAAAACAAAAAATTTATTATGTTAACTGTTATGTAAACAGATACTAACAGAACTCATATGGCCAATAACTGTTTATTTTGACTATAAGAAATATTTTATCAAATTTTGAATAGTTTTTCAAATTTTCTAATAAATTTATTATTTTATTTGCAATTGTTATAGTTTGTTTGAGCTAGTAATACTGAAGATTTACTTTAAGTTATTAAATTTAATTTTATAATTCACTCTATATAGTGCAATTTTCCTTAAGTGGCCAATCACTGTATCTCTTACTCCTACTGGAGCGCCAGTACACAAAGAACGCCCTGTGTTCGCTGTGAAGCCGTCTGCGCAATGCAAAGAAATAACGGAAGCGCTAAAAATAACATCGGCTTTATAAAATTCATAATAAAAAATAACGGTGAGAATATCGAACTTTAACATTCGAAAATATACATGTATCATTGCAGATCAGAAAACGAGATAGACATTACCCACATAGTATCGGTAGTAGCACACACGTTTTTGCAACGGATTTTCTGAAATTTAGCAACATTCCGTTAAAAGTCTCTAAAACGTCGTAGTAACGTAGCGAAAACGTCGAAATGTCCGCTTTTTAAGTTGCGGTCCGACTTCGTAGAAACGTATAAGAAACGTTGCTCGATAAGGTGCAAAGTTTTTAATGTTTTATTCTTACGCGCTCATTGGCACACATTTATTACTTTGTATCTCGTTAATTCTTGCAAATTTTGCAAAATGGTAACTAACTTTTTTATTCAGTTTGACTCAATCTATATTCATATTTCGGCTTGGTCAAAATTTTAAAGACACCCTGTATATATCTATATGTGTATATATTCCTGTTTCGATCTATACAACACGATATGATGACAAATACTTTACGAGTCATTCACACAGTCGTATGTAAACCAGAAAAACTTTTATTTTATAATATAACTTACAATAAACGATTACTGCACCATGTATCCTACAAGTGTTTTTTACAAGTTTTTAAATGTAAGAGATACAAAGCACATAGCCTTTTTCTGTATTACTGATTTACATAAATAATACTAGGTTACTGTGGCGCGTCAAACTAAGGGTCGTAAATATACCAGTTATCCATTTTATCGTAAGTTCTGTATTTTTACAGTCTTTATGCAAATTTATTATATATTAAACACTATTATAAACAATAAAATATTTTTATAATCTGTTCGCGATTAAAAGCTCGTTTTTTACAACTTTTTGTTTATTGAAAATCAACTATCAAGTAAACTTACGTTATTATTTTGATATTTAAAGAATCCGTTTACTCAAACAACTAGCGCGTACAATGTCATTTAATATTTTGTTTTTTCGAATATAATAAAAGTAATTTTTAAGGTTTGACGAAAATATAGACAAAAGCGGAATAGTTTGCCGAATATATGTTTATAAAAGTATCTCCAAACTGTGTGATAATATTGTACCTACATACGTGAATACTCTGGTATAGATGCCACCGCACTTGTATGACTTACAGCCAATTTTTTCACTTCTAGATAAGTTTTCGATATCTTTATCTAGCAGATATCTCCCAAAATTATTTCTCCTTATTGGTTCTCAGAGGAATTTATCCAGAGGATAGCTATCGGAAGGTATGAAGAAATCGGCCGTTATTCCGTTTCTTTTTCGTTTATCGTAAAATTCTAAAAATCTACCTTATATAGGCTTCAAATAGAAAAGGTGCTGTAATTTTTCATTACACCGAAAATACTGTGAGTAGGAAAAGTAGGAATCTATAGTTCTATTTGACACACATTCACAGTATGACGTAAGTAGTGTGTCAATCAAGGTCCTTCTGCAATAAGATATTAGTACTAAATCAGAAGTCAGACGCAAGAAATTGACTAATCACAATCGATTATTCTTCTGTGATTTGACTGTGATTGAACAATTTCTTGCTTCTGACTTCCGATTTATTACTAATATCTTATTGTAGAAGATTCTTCAAAGATAAACAGAGATAATAAAACTGAGATAAACTAGCACACTATAAACTGAAATAAGAAGTTGTGGAAATAACAGTTACAATTCAAGAAGAAAGTGTATATGTCGGACTTACGGCATTGTGTTCAGCTATAAGACAATAATAATAAATAAGATACACGTGTGTTACATCTTTCGATGACATATAGAAACTTCAAGTTCTTCACAATCGCCATTAGTAGTACTAAACGTAAGCATATCACAAACGAAATGATATTCGAATTTTTAAATGTAAAGTTGTCTTTTTTTTCTTTTTTTCAGTATTAATTGTTTTTTATATAAGAATACAAAAAAGAACGAATAATGAATCAGGACAAACCTTTGACTTTTTTCGAAGGCAAACCTAGAAAAGGATCCCACAGTAAAGTAGAACTTGAAGTAGAAGATGATAAAACAAAACAGCACGACCACGATGTGCCGATACAAGACAAAAAAACAAACGAACAACAAACAACAAAAAATATTCTTGACTTCCCAGATGAAGTTCTTTTTTGTATATTCAAAAATGTAGACCCAAACGATTTGAATAATCTCCGATTGTAAGTTTTTTTATTTATGTGAAGCGAGTGATAGATAAATATCCGAGACAATGCAGAAATCACGACAGGAGTACGACATTGTTGTTGTTGACAAACTGTATCTTTCAGAACAACAGTCGTATTAGTATACGTACTACTTATGTAACAGTTCGCCAAATTATATATAATCGTTTAAAATACTATCAATCGCTTCTCGTTAAAATAATATACTTATATTTTATATGTTTCAAAATAAGTTTTGGTAAAATTTATTTATTATAGATGTTGCACAAGATTTGCAAGACTAGCGGCAGATAAATTTTTATGGAGTTTGGACTATCGCAAAACACCTATACTTCCATCTCAAATGGAGTCGTATGAAACTTTCCTAAAACCATTAACATACAGCTTAGCAATACGTGGAGATTTCCAACATGGCAATGAAAATATTCTTTTACCTTATTTTTGTTTTAAACTACGACAAATATGCAGAATACTTAGCAAATTGATTATTGAAGAGTATTATATTCCTACAACTAAGGTATATATTACTTTTTATTAAAATGTTTCTACAGTACGTACACATACAGCAAACAGCTAAATCATAAAGTATGAAAAAAATATAACACGATAGTTTTAATCATAGTTGCTGTTCTCAAGTGTTAGTATATTATTAATGGTAAAATAAAAAGCGTTAGTTGCTCGCATTCACTCGCTCTCGATGTGATCTTGTAGTAAATAATATCTGTATACAAAGTGTTTAGCGAAATTTCAATTTCTTAGCAAAAGAAATTAAACAAATTGCACACTAAAAAGATTTTATACACTGCACTTCCACATTCTTTAAAATACAGATTACCACGCACACAAACTATTATGACTTACGTAATTACAGTTTGTTCCGTTTACTTACATATAGAATAATAATAATAATAGTATCGTGGAATATATCATTACATATGTCTGTAAAAATTATAGTTATCGAAGCATATGTACATACATGTTTATAATAGTATTATAGAGGTCACTCTTTATGTGTATAGCATATTATACATCTAGTAAAACTTCTTTTCCATAGTTTTGTTACAAATCCATGGCAATTTATTAAAATTGGTTTAGGATACGCCAGAGACGTCAACAACTCTTGAGACCCTTGAATTCAAAAATTGTATAGCAGATGGTAAGTTTACTGGTGTCACATTTTTTTCGCCCACTTTTTTTCCTGGAGTATGTAGGTTCGTACCCTACATAAAAGTAAGTTGTTGTTCTACACATATTTTACATATCTCTATATATTTAGTGTATTCTATCATATACACACACACACACATATTGTGTTTAACGATACAATACTGTATTACAAATATAAATTTTAGCTCTTGACATTTAACAATGTTCTGTGGGATCAGCAATCGACATTTTTGACAAGTATATGTAATCTTACAGAACTTCAGAAACTTGAAGTAATTTCATGTTTTCGTATAAAGGACTTCTGTCCAGACATAGATTTATTCACTGTCCCTTGTAACTGCCAAAAACTAGAGGTATTTTTTATTTTAGGACAGTAATAGTTCTGCATTTCATTTGATTTCCTGCGGAAATCACACTTTTCTAAAGACGTGCTTTTTTCTTTTTTATTTTATAGATTCTAGACTTTCGAAACACATTAGCAGAGGATAAGATAATTGAATGGTTTTGTCAAGTTGAATCTTTAAAAGAACTGTATCTAGAATGTCCTAAATTTTTTAGGGACAAATTGTCAAATGAGTCATTAGAAGAGTTACAAAACTTTTATTACGAAAATTACATTCCTTTGTGTCTGTTTGATATGGAGATTTATACCTTTTTATGTACAATAGAAGTATGTCTCTCAATTTTTTCGTGTTCTTTAATTTTGCCTTTCAAACATACATGCTTGCATATATTATACACTAGTATTTTAACAAATTATCAATTTCTTGTTGCGCACTAGATGATAATAGACTTTTTTTTGCTTTAGCGTCTTCTTGCCGAAAACAAAGTTAAAGAAATAATCACTTGCAGAAACAATTTGTTTTTAAACTATTTGTTGCCATATAGTAGTCGCTATTTAAGTAGATGTACAAATTTAAAGATATTACATATAAGTTAAATCGTAAGCCTAAAAAACAAAAACCAAAAATATTTTAAATACTTGCTTTTATTTTTTTTCAGACATTATTCGCAAGTTACAAGAACAGATATCAATATTATGGCGTCGACATTACCAAACTTAATAGAGCTGGATATAACTGGTTGTAGTGTAACTTTGGAGGATATTAAACACTTTAAATCACAAAGACCTAATGTTAACATTTATTCATCATTTAGTACACAACATAAACGATATGTGTCTATGAGTAAATGAGTATTGAGACGACGTTAATGTGACATAGATTATAAAAAAACAAAGTTAGAAACGAAACTTGTTTTATATCCCGATAAAAAGTAGTACTTGATAGTGCAATTATCTGAGTAATTATAATGAAACTGTAATTATCGTACCTGAAAAAAGTAATTAAGCAAGAATATCACATTTACGTGTAATTGTAATAATTGTAACTGCAATTATAATTATTACAAAACCTTGTAACATTTTAAGTTATTTTAATATAAGAACTTGTAAACTTATGATGTTAAAATGTGTAAGAAAACCGAAAATTATGATTAATTTATTCAAATAGTCAGTAACCATTACACACACAATCGCGCAAAAATGTGATCATCCATTTAAAGAATGGATTTTGACTATCTCGCTACTGCGTGTCGTCGCGATACGCGACAAGTGTATTTAGGCTTTTACCAATACTAATGTTCAGCAAGAAAAATATGTTGACCATGGTCGCCGTCCGAGCAGGCACCGGACTGCGGAAATTGAATAAAGCGCGCAAAAGCACCGATTTACTGAAGCGCCAATATACAAAGAACGCCTTGTGTCGCTGTGAAGCCGCTTGCGCAATGCAAAAAAATACCAAAAGCGCTAAAAATACTATCCATTGGCTTTATAAGGTTCATAATTATAAATAACGGTAAACACAGCGGACTTTAACATTTAAAAATACACATGTAAAAATGCACATCAGAGAACAGAATAAACATTAGCAATAAAATTTTGGACGAGGTGAAATTTTGTGTCTCTTGATTATATCGCTATCGCTCTTCTCTCGCATTGCAAAATCTTCACAAATAAGAATCAGACATAACGCGATCTAAATCGTAGAAAAAGCATCAGACCGATAAGTGTTTCTTTACGTTCTTTACTTCTGAAAAGGCGTTTTTTCTTTGACACAGTAAATAATGAGATTAGTTACTTCTACTAAAATGACATATTTTGTCGGTATAACAGGACGATTCGATATCCTCTTAAATATTCTATGATATAAATCACAATAAACGAGTACTGCAACACGTATTCTTATAGTTGTTTAACAAGTGTATAATTGTAAAAAATAAAAAGCACATTGCATGTTGCCGTTTTATATTACCAGTTATATTACCGATTGAAATAGATAATACTAAATATGAGTGGTGCGACAACCTATCGATCGTAGATATTTCCGATATTTCTTATCGTTAGTCTTTTATTTCTATAGTCATCATTCAAACTTATTATATATTAAACAATATTATAAACAATAAAATATGTTTATAAATTGTTTGCGACAGAAGGCCCGTTTTTTACAATTTCGCGTTTAGTAAAACCCAACACACTACCAAGTATATTGAATTTACTATTCATACACTTAAATAATCCATTTAGTAATACAAACTAACGAGTATACTTTTATATAGTATTCTGTAAGTATTTTGGTGCTTCAAATTTAACAAACGTGATTCTTAAAGTTTGACGAGAATATACACAAAACCAGAACAGTATGCCTAATAATATACAGGGTATCCCAAACTTGGTGTAACATTTCTCGTGAACAACTAGAAGGAGTAAACCTGAGTCAAAAAAATTTATACCATTTAGCTAGATTCGCAGTAGTTAACAAGATCTAAAGTAACAAAGATCAGCGAATAAGCATGCATCAAGCTGTCTTACTCGCTTAAGACAGCCCAGTGCGCTTCGCGCGCTTACGGTGTTACCCGTAGGAGCATATGAGAAGATCTAATATAACAGCATATACTGTATAATATACATATTAAAATGTAATTGTGCGAAGCGCGCCAAGCTGTCCTACGCGCGTAAGACAACCCGATGCACGCTTATTCGCGNATCTTTGTTAATTAAGATTTCGGTATTTATTGCGAATCTAGCAAAATGGTACTTATCGACTCAGTTTTATTTCTTCTACCTGTCTACGAGAAATGTTACACCACTTCTGCGACATCCTGTAAATGTTTNAAAAAGTATCGTCAAACTGTGTGATAATATTGTACCTACCCTGATAAAAACCCATTTACAAAATTATGTGACNAAATCTTGCACTAAAATTGTAATTTGCAATTATACAGACATATTTTAGAAAATCAATGCAAACAAATTCATCTTTTTTGAAATATTTGTAGCTGTTTGCAAAATTACTTTTTACATATTATTTCGGCAAAAGAATAATAATATGGCAAATCATCTTAACACTATATTTGCGAAATTAATTTTACAAAGAAATTTTCTACTAATTGAGAAAAGAAAGTCAGCTTTGTACTGTTTAAAAAATGTAGAAATATAATTGCATATGCAGAAATGCACGAAATCGTCGTCAGTCATGATGTCATGTTTGTGCAATATTTTCACAATTTGCCTATTAGAGTACATACGTAAATACTNTAAAACAGGTGCCACAGCACATCTATTACTTCTTTTGCTTACTTTTTCGTTCATTGTAAAGTTATAAATACATCTCATGTATAAGCTTCAAATAAACAAAAAGTGCAGAAATGTTTCATTACATCAAAAATACTGTAAGTAGGAAAAANAGGAATCTATAGTTACAACTGGCAAACATATTCACAGTATGATAAAAGTAGTGTATCAATCAAAGATAAACAAAGATAATAAAANTGACAAATAAAATAGCATAGGCTCGAATAAGAAGCTGTAAAGATAACAGTTAAAATTCAAAACAAAGTTTATGTGTCTGACTTACAGCATTGTGTTCAGCTATACGAAAATTCAGATAATCGTGTGTTACATCTTTCGACAACATATCAAAACTTTAAGTTCTTCACAATCGCCGTTAGTCGTACTAAACGTAAGCATATCACAAACGAAATAATATTGGAAGTTTTAATTGAAAATTTGTCTTTTTCTCTTTTTCTCAGTATTAGCTGTTTTTCATATAAGATTACAACATATAAAGAACAATGAACCAGGACAAANCTTCGACTTCTTTCGAAGGGAAACCTAGAAAAAGGACCCACAGTAAGATAGAACTTGAAATAGAAGATGATAAAAAACAACAGCACGACCACGATGTGCCGATACAAAACAAGAAAACAAACGAACACCAAACAACAAAAAATATTCTTGACTTTCCAGATGAAGTTCTTTTATGTATATTTAAACATGTGAATGACGCAACCGATTTAAATAATCTCAGATTGTAAGTTTTTTTATTTACATGAAGTGATAGATAAATATCCGAAACAATGCAGAAATCGCGACAGTAGTACGACATTGTTGTTGTTGACAAATTGTATGTTTCAGAACAACAAGTGAATTAGTATACGTACTACTTGTGTGACAGTTCGCCAAATTATATATAATCGTTTGAATTAATATCAATCGCTTCTTGTTAAAATAATATACTTATATGTTCTATGTTTTAAAATAGGTTTTGTTGGAATATATTTATTATAGATGTTGCACACGATTTGCAAGAGTAGCGGCAGATAACTCTGTATGGATTTTGGACTATCGCAAAGAACCTATTCTTCCGTGTCAAATGGAACCGTATGAAACCTTCTTAAAACCATTAACATACAGCTTAGCAATACGTGGAGATTTTAATCAACGCGATAAAAATATTCTTCCATCTTGTTTTTTTTTTAAATTACGACAAATATGCCGGAGACTTCGCACATTGGTTATTGAGGAGTATTTTATTGTTACAATTGAAGAAGATATAAATGAGGTATACGTTAGTTTTTATGAAAATATTTATACAATACGTACACATTCAACAAACAGCTAAATTGTGTATTATGAAAACACAATAATACGATAATTTTTTATTTTTTTGTTGTTTGATCTAGTCGTTTTTTTCAAATGGTATAGTATATTATTAATGGTAAAATAAAATGCTTCAGCTGTTCGCAACTTTAATCGCTTACGATGTCAGTTTAAATTAAGTAATATCTGAGTAGTGTTTTNCAAGGTCTATATTTCTTAACATCCAAATTTAAACAAATTGTCTACTAAATATATTTTATACAATGCACTTTCACTTTCTTTAAAATAAGGACTGTCACGTACAAAAAGTATTATTATTTACGTTATTGTAGTTTGGTTTGTTTCCCTACGTTTAAAATAATAGTATTAATAATAATAATCGTGTGGTATATCATTACATATGTCTGTAAAAATTATAGCTATCAAAGTACATATGCTACATTTATAATAGTACTATTCAAGACACTTTTTTTTTATAGCACATTATACATCTGGTAAAACTTTTCTTTCTTAGTTTTGTTACAAATCCATGACACTTTATTAAAAACTTTTTAGTATATATTGATGATTTTACCAACTCTTGAGAAACTTGAAATCAAAACTTGTATAACTAGTACTTGTATTAATACCAACGTGAACTGGCGTAATGATTTTTTTATTTGTTTACCCAATATAAAAGTAAGTTCTTGCTTATACATCTTTTCCATATTTATGCATCTTTATATATATCTAGTGTACTGTATCATACATACACATTTTGAGTGAGAGTGTATTGGATACCGACTATAGAGACCTGTAAATCGATGGTTTAACAATAAATTTCACTACTGTTTAATTTTGTGTACTGCATTACGTGAAAGATGCTTCTACAGAAGCAAATAAATATGAAACATTACATACTGTTTTTAAAACCAGATATATACTGTGCTCTTTTTTTCTTCACAAAGATAGTATATGATAACTTATACTGTCATTACGAGAATTGCTTTTTTTTATCACTTACACATTCCAATCATAATGTGAGAGTCTCATTGGATTCTTGTTTGTCGTATTTATTGTTGTAGTTTAGTATAAATACGTACATAAGATACGTACATATTTTAGAAATACTTATATGAACATGAATATATGGTGAGATTATAGAAATAAACTGTAAAAGAAAAATTTATACTACATTATAACATTCCAAAGAACAACAGCAATATTTTAGCACATTTTACTGATTTCTGTCAAAGCATTTTGGACTTTATGCAGTAAATACGGTACAAAACGAAATATTACAACGTACATGTACAGGTTCCTATAGTCGGTATTCAGTATTCTCTTAACGACACAATACTGTATTAAAAATATAAATTTTAGCAGTTGATTTGGAACAACGTTCTATGGGATTCGCACCCGACACTTTTAACCAGTATATGTATACTTAAAGAACTTCAGACACTTGAAGTAACTTCATGTTTTCGTGTGCAAGAATGTTACCTTCCAGACGTTACTTTACTTGTTTTTAACTTCCAAAAGCTTCAGGTATTGTTTNTTTCAAAACCTTAATAACTCTGCTTTTTATTTATTGTGAAAAGCACACTTTTCTATAGAAGTGTTTGTTTCTTTTTCCTTTTTTTATAGACTCTAAACTTTCAAAACACAGTAGTAGCGGATAAACTACTTGAATCGTTTTGTAAACTTGACTCTTTAAATAAACTGTATTTAGAATGTCCGAAATATTTAAGGAAAGAATTGTCAATTAAATCATTACAGGAGTTACAAAACTTTTCTTACAAAGAATACAGGCCTTTGTTTGCAGATAAGCGTTATATCTTTTTTGATACAATAAAAGTATGTCTTCCATATTTTCGTTTCCTTCATTTTAGTTACTCAAACATACATGCTTGCATTATA